CCTCTTGGTGGTTTGATCTTCTGTTCAAGAGTCTCAGGTTTGATCCTGGCCAATGAGCCTTGTGTGTGTGTGTGTGTGTGTGTGTGTGTGTGTGTGTTCGGCCACCATCTATCCACCAGGAAACGTTTAGCAAGCTGTGCCGGAGCTTCCAGAATAAGAAGGACTAGGAAGAAAGTCCTGGCAAATTCCTTCTGAAGAGAACTCAGTGCAATTGCTCCGGATCACACTATTTCCATGCACCAGTGAAGACAGGGACAGCACAGGGCTGCGCCTCATTTCTCTCTGCTGTGCATGCATTCTCCATGAGTCACGGTCTGACTCAACAGGAACTCAGCAACCACATTTTACACAAACAGGGCCACCCCACAAAGGCATTCTGAGTTTTCTTACGGAGCCCATGTGTTAAAACCATGGCAGGCAGGCAGAGAGGTGAGACAGGTGGAGAAAAACAAACTTCAACGCTAGAAGCTCCCACCGAAGCACACTCACCTCAAGTTTTAGCATCCTGCTATCCAGCACGCTTTTGTCAGAGGTGGGGAGGCAGTAAGAATCCAGCATGTGCGTGGCATCGGCCATCCAGTCCAGCAGCTCCTTCACCCCCAGAGAGAACTGGTTGTGTTCCGCGACGATCCGATCCAATCGTGACACTTTCTCCTGGAGATGACAATGGTGGCATTTTAGTTGTCCATTCCTCAGTGCTCTCACAGTCTAAAGCTACACGGAGGGTAAAAGCTAACAGGGTTGGAAGCTTCGACCAGTTACAGGTCCAAATGCTCCATAGACTTCGTAACACATGTCACTATTCATTCTGTGAGATGCACAATACCTCTTAACAGTAAGCATTCTAGGATAACTGGACCGAGAAGAACACTTACAGCTTCCTCAACGTTGTCACTATTTGGGTGTGATCATTATGACATTTTCTTAGCATCAGGAGAAATATTCTCCTTTAACTCTTTTTCTGGGAGACTAAAGAGGTAGCCCTAGGATTTCTGTCTTCCATGTGGCTCACATAATGTCATATGCCTGAATGGCATTGTAGCCAAAGTTCTAAATATTATCTGAAGTCTTCTTACATTTTTAAAAGTGGAGACTGTAAATGTTATTTTATATGTTAATGACTGGCTTTGTCCAAGACAGTTGGAAGACTTTATAAGAAGAATGTGCAGCTCTAAAAACATTCAAACATCTATTAAATTTTGTTATCTAACTAAATCCTGCTGTTAGGGACCTCTCTAAAGTACTCAAGAGCAATGGTGTCTCTCTAGAGACGAAGGTGTGCCTGATATAAGCCATGGCCTTCGCAATCACTTGTTATGCATCAGAGAGCTGGACAATGACTAGGGAGGACAGAAGGAGAATTGACGTCTTTGAGCTGTGGTGCTGGAGAAGAGTATTGAATATACCATGGACTGCCAAGAAAACAAACAGATTCAGCCTGGAGAGGGTTAAACCAGGCTGCTCCTTGGAGGCAAGGATTCTGGGGCTTCGTCTGACATACTTTGGACATGTTGTAAGGAGAGACAGGTCTTTGGAGAGGGACATCATGCTGGGCAGAGTAGAGGGACAGCACAGGAGGGGAAGACCCTCTATGAGGTGGATTGATTCAGTGACTGGGGTAATCAGGATGGGTGTGTCAGAGGCAATGCGATTGGCACAGGACAGAGTGGAGTTTTAGGGCTGTTGTACATAGGGTCGCTATGAGTCGTAAACGACTCGAGGGCACATAACAACAACAACTAAATCCTATGGTGTAGGAAGAGGTCTGTAATTAGGTTTTATTTTAGGTGTGTGCCAAATTTTCTAAAGGCAGTTGGTGGCACAGTGACAAGGTTTTCAGAGGCAGTTAATCACACAGGAGGAGATTATCCATCCTTCTCCTGCGGAGCAGCTGGTGGATTAAGACTGCATTCCTTTGAGACTGCAGGACAGCTTTTCACCAATAAGCCACCAGAGAGAGTGCCCTGGAAATCTTCCTTCACCAGCAAGCAGCTCTAAGTCAGATCTGATCGCAATAAAGTTGTCTTCATAAAATAAAGGTAGGTGAAAACTCTGACTACATTCTTCCAAAGACATATTTTTTTTTTCCCTCTGAAAAGACCCCAAATTAAGAGGCCAGAAATAAGTCCACAGCAAAATAGCAAGGTCACATAAAGAAAAGGGTGGATTAAAGGAAATTCCCCACATTCTAAGAACTGAAGTGTAAAAGTGAGTTGAAGAAATACGACAAGCCACATAATCTCAAGACAGATCTGTGGCTACAAAATTCAACACAGCCCTTCATCATAAATGAGGTAAAAAGGGTTTTGGTTGTGTGAATGAGTGTCCTTTTGAGCACCACTCTACAGTTCTCTAAGAAATTAGAAATCAACACATCCCTGACTTCTGACAATCATAAATATAAGGATAGCAGGCCAGTGAAAAGCTGTGTCATAACAAACTTGGTCAGCGTAGGCCACTAAACTATGGACTTCTTCGCAATCATGTTTCTCTATAGCAATTTACTTCTGAGATTCTTGGAAAGCCAGTGGAGGGATGGCTGCGAGTGGCTTCTGACTCTTTGGCAATGAGCTGAGTCCGTGCCAAAGTTCCGAATGCTGTCTCAAGTCTCTGCTCTGTGTCTTTAGGATAAGAACTTGGTGGCACACCTCATTTCAGCACAAAGAGACATATTCTGGGGCCTACTAGAGACCCGAAGCCTCTCAGACTTTGAAAACTTTCTTTCTCTTTTCAGACAACTAGGGAAGGTGACACAGTTCACATGAGAATAATTGATCCCAAGGCTGGGCTCCGTCTAACATACTTTGGACATGTAGTGAGGAGAGACCGGTCCTTGGAGAGGGACATCATGCTTGGGAGGGTGGAGGGACAGCGCAGGAGGGGAAGGCCCTGTATGAGGTGGATTGATTCAGTGACTGGAGTAATCAGGATGGGAGTGTCAGAGACAGTGCGATTGGCACAGGACAGAGCAGAGTTTAGGGTTGTTGTACATAGGGTCGCTATGAGTCGTAAGCGACTCGACGGCACATAACAACAACAACAAGAAGGCTGGGCACCAACACTCACGTGCTTTATCCCTGCCCTGAAGACACCACACCAGACGCCCCGCGTAACCCAACAGCGCGACTCCAGACAGGTACCAGGGGCCCCGCACCCACACACAGCGCACGGCAGCGTTACCTTCGTGACATTGCTTAGCGCTAGGTACTGAGAAGACAGCTGGGACACTCTGTGCAGAAAGCTCTTGCTCGCAGCGCGTCCTTCCCACAGCTGCTGAGCTTTCTCTTTGAGCCTGTGGAGCTGAGGCTCGTAGCAGTTTATTTCCTCAAGGACAGACTGAAAAGCACAAGCAAGTTACTATTAAAGGGTTGGGGGAGGGGGGAAGCACATCGCGGACAAAGCTGTGGCCCACAGAACATGGAAATCAATGCTGGCAAGCAATCAGTGTGCCCACAGGTTTTCTTATCTCCAATAGAGTAGAGCATGCTACAGGAAGGAAGAGAATCAGACCTCCAAGGAAAGTTAGGGAACACAGAGAACATCCCAAGGAGTGGAGGAGACACCAGGTGGCGATCTGGAGTAGTCTAACTCCAGGGACCTCAGCATGCATCTGTGGGTGGGTGCCCAGAGGATGCAGAGGAGCATGCGGGCAGGTGGGGCCAAGCACTGGTCACCTGCAGTTTCTGCTGCTCGCGCCTCTTGGCTGGCAGGTCATAGAGCCGGCTGCTGCTCTCACGGACCATCTTCTCTGTTTGACTCAGCCAGTCCTGCACCGGCTCGGCGCTGACTTCAAAGTCCTTCATTTGGATCTTTAGGGTCTATAAGTTTTTAGACACTGTTAGTTGAGAATCTCACTACCAAGTATGTTGAAATGGCACCTCCAATGTCCTGCACTTGGCATTCAAAGTCTTCTACAACCTGACTCCTGTGTTCAAAGGTCTAAGACATTCCATGCTTCTTCACCTAGACCCCTTAGTATGATTATTTAAGATCCTCTTGGAAGAAGGAGTGGCATCCACTTCCTAAATAACATGCCTCTGGAAACTCTATGAACTTTGATAAATGTTGACACCTGTAGAGGGGCTTCACGCCTTTTGTTCATAGGGTCATTATGAGTCGTGCTCAACTCGAAGGCAATCAACAACAACAACTAGGACCCTCAATGAGATTTGACATAGTGACAGTAACAATGAGCTCAAGTATATTAGAGATAATGAGAATGACACAAGACAGAGCCAGACCCCATTGTCCATGGGGTCACTGTGATTCGTAGTGGACTCCATGGCACCTAACAACAAGAATGTTTAATAAATCCAGTTACTAGTTTTTAAAATTAATCTTTCTTTAACAAGCCGCTCCATCTTAGAGGTCATAGCCTCTTCTCAACTTGTATCACATTTGCTGTTCATTCTAGTGGATCCAGCCTTTTTACAGACTAAATTGAACTATCAACTTTCCCTGGATGCCTTACCCCTTATCACCACAACTGCATTACAAAGCCTATGGCAGCAGGCCTGTGTCTTACGTCTCCTGTAATATACATGGTACTCTGTAGGAATTTTGTTTAATGTCACTATTTTGTTGACTTTGATTGGTAATAAGAAGCAGTAAATGCTACTGCATTTATTTTATTGATTTGCAGATTTTCATTTACAATAAGACAAGAAATATCAAATAATGCTATGTGCTTAATGTATAAGAATTTTCTAAATATTGTCATAGCTATTTATTTGTTATTATTGGCAGTAATATATTTTGGGGGGAGTTAAAAGGTTATAATTCAATTTAATAACAAAATACAATCACAGCAGCTCTCAAAATGTGCATGCAGGCACCTCAGCCTTGAGCCTCATGGCTTGAAGTGTTCACAAGTCCTCAGTCCTGCCAATACTGGCTTCTCAGCCCCACCTCCGATTGTCTAACAAAGTTCTCAGTCCTATCAATATTGGCTCTACCACCCTGAAAGTCCCATCTCACATCAATTCTCCAGTTCAGCGCGTACTGCGGCTGCTGCTGTCCCAAAGCATATCTTACATTTCTCCAGGTTAGGGGAGGTCTCTCTTCTCTGACTGGGCAAAGAATTCCATCTCTTCTGGTGGAGGAAGAACTCCTCAGCAGTAATATTTTTGAATTTTTATGTGAGACCACTTCATTTTAACATTGATTTCTATATCTACCATATAATATTAACAAAACTGCTCGATTGAGGTAAATTTGAATTTGTTATCTGTGTTCCCGTATGAATCAGCCAAAAGTTTTTACATTTATCAAATTTACAACAACAACAAAACCAATACAGGCCGTGTCTACTGTGGGGCCTGAACCCATGACCATGAGATTAAGGGTTTCAGGTTCTACTACAGTGTAAACTATGAATTGTAGTCAACTCAGCAGTACCCATTAACAACAACACAGATAGTGTTTAGAAGAGTGAACGTGAAGGTTAGTTAGAAACATAGCAAGCTCTAAAAACTGTGGTAGCCTATGTGCAAATACCTCAATGTTTCCTGTAAGACTAACCCAGGATCAATATAGGATGTAGGATAAACATGTCAGCCATACTTCCCTGTTAGGTCATGTGGTAGTTGTGTGAACCATTTGGAAATATAAAATTGATTTACAAATATATCAAAGTGAATTCCATGAACATTTAAGTTTTGGGAGAAAAAGAACATTGTTCTCTTTTATTATCCACTCTATCCTCTGAGCCTAGATTAGTCCTTGGAAGATGTAAAGAGTTTAACAATTATTGAATAAATTCACAAATTTAAGGTGCTTTTAATTTCTTGTTTTCAGAGTCTAATGAAGTGATCAAGAAAATGAGAATCAGGGCATTATCGGGAGTTTAGGTTCTGTATGTCAGAGGTCTCACCCCAAAATTTGGGTACTTTGTATAAATAATATAGTCATATGGTCACAGTAAGGATAAGGGCTTGCATAACAAAAGTAAAATAGAATGAAGTCAACCAACTCCTAAAGCTACTCAGACTTCCCATCTACAAGGGTGGACTGGCCTCCCACTCATGCTGATTGCATGTGCTTTTTTGATGATTTCCCCCACAGCTTCAACGATCACCTGCAGGCTCTCTAAGCCCATATTTATAGGAACAGTATTTATACAATAATCTCAGTCAGATGAGGAACCCTAGTTGAAGGTCAAGATCACACAGCTTTGCCATGCCGTCTGGCCCTAATCCTCTCCAGTTTTGTCTCTATCCCACTTCCTGCAAAATCTCATGCTGGTGTCCACCTTCTCCGAGTGTCCTTCCTTGGCTCTGCAGGCTCTCTGAACTCTACTACTTCAGCTCCTTCTCCCAGGAATGCACCTTAACCTTGACAAGGTCAAGGTTTTATCTTTAGATTCAGGTAAAAGCACACCTCTTAAGGAACCTTTGGTGACTTGTCTATATTATCCTCCCGCCAGGCCTTTCTAAGACTGTCTTCCACCCATGCTACAAAATTAACCCCCTGAGACAAAAAATAATATTCCAACCGAATGTGGAAACTACAGAACAATTTCACTGATTTCACACGCAAGCAAGATTTTACTGAAAATTATCCAAAAATGACTGGAACAGCACATCAACAGAGAACTACCAGAAGTCCAGGCTGGTTTCAGAAGGGGTCGTGGTACTAGAGATATTGTAGCTGATGTTAGATGGATCTTGGCTGAAAGCAGGGAATACCAGAGGAATGTCTATCTGTGTTTCATTGACTATGCAAAGGCATTTGACTGTGTAGATCATAACAAACTGTGGCTGACTCTGAGAAGAATGGGAATCCCAGAACACTTGATCGTTCTAATGCGAAACTTATACTTGGACCAGGAGGCAGTCGTCAGAACAGAGCAAGGGAACACTGCATGGTTCAAAATTGGGAAGGGCGTATGCCAGGGATGCATCCTATCTCCATACCTTTTCAACCTATATGCAGAACAGATTATCTGGGAGGCTGGGCTCTATGAGGAGAAATATGGGGTCAAGACTGGTGGACAATTTATCAACAATCTGCGTTATACGGATGACACAACCCTGCTTGCTGAAACTGAGGAGGACCTGAAGCACCTGCTGCAGAGCGTCAAGGATTGCAGCCTACAATATGGATTGAGGCTCAATGTCAAGAAGACAAAGATTCTCACCACTGGACCAATCAGCAGCATCAGGATGGATGGTGAAGAGATTGAGATTGTACACAGCTTTAGTCTGCTTGGCTCCATAGTCAACAGTCTTGGCACCAGCAGCCAGGAAATTAAAAGGCGCATTGCCATGGGAAAGTCTGCTGTTAGGGACCTCTCCAGAGTGCTGAAGAGCAGTGGTGTCTCTCTGGAGACTAAGGTGTGTCTAATACGGTGCGTCTGATACAGGCCATGGTCTTCGCAATCACTTGTTATGCATCAGAGAGTTGGGCAATGACCAAGGAGGATAGAAGGAGAACTGATGCCTTTGAGCTGTGGTGCTGGAGAAGAGTACTGAGAATACCATGGACTGCTAGGAAAACAAATAGATTTGTCCTGGAGAGGGTTAAACCGGGTGGTTCCTTGGAGGCAAGGATTCTGAGGCTCCGTCTAACTTACTTTGGACATGTAGTGAGGAGAGACCGGTCCTTGGAGAGGGACATCATGCTTGGGAGGGTGGAGGGACAGCACAGGAGGGGAAGGCCCTCTATGAGGTGGATTGATTCAGTGACTGGGATAATTAGGATGGGAGTGTCAGAGACAGTGCGATTGGCACAGGACAGAGCGGAGTTTAGGGCTGTTGTACATAGGGTCGCTATCAGTCGCAGGCAACTCGATGGCACATAACAACAACAACAACAACAACAAGCCGTTAGGTTAGCAGCACAGACTCTCCACAGACTATGCCATCAGAATTCCCTGTTCCCATCGTCCTATCTGGAAAACAACTGTAACTCAAAAAAGCCAGAAGAAGGAAGAAAGGTAAAGAGAAAGGATGTGGAAGAGAGAAGCATCATGTAAAGACCTAAAAATTTCAAGAGGGGAAAGGTAGATTACAAAACAAACAATTCCCGGCCTCCTCAGCTAACTAGCCGTGTTTGGAACTAGACAGCTGTGCAAGCCATATTAGACATGTTACACTCAACTGCCGATGCCTCTGCCTTGGAGCCCAGGCAATAAGGAGCCCTGTGTGGTTTAGGACACATTTGTACGCAGGGCATGGTATCTATTAAGTAGAAGATGTCTAGCAGGAAGAAAGTGGAAGTGAAGAAATACAGAGGTTTTATTTTTGTGATATCAGTTCATGATTTCCCCCGCCCCCATCTCCTGTTGTGCAGTCTTTTATCTCAGAAAACCTAAACAAGGGTCAGGCCTGAGTCAATTCAGACTCAATGATGGCATTGGGAACCTTGCACTTAACTATGGTCATAATCAAATTACATATCTATTCCACAGATTATTAAAAAAAAACAGGAAAAAAGTTTCTGTTCATATCTCTCTAACATTTTCTTATAAGAGTTGGAACACCAGAGAAGAATTCGCTGACCAGAGGGGATGGAATTCTCCAGCCTGCCAGAGAAGAGACACCTCCCCCAGCCTGGTGAAATATAGGACACACTTTGGGCTGACAGCAGCAGTGATGGCTGAACTAGAGAACAGGGTTCTTCAAATAAAAGAAATTCTTCCCAGCAGAAGGTCTTTAGAACAAAGTACATTTGGAGGATGCAGCTTTCAGAGAAGAAAAGTCATTATTCCAATGAGAAGGCAGACATTGCATTATCAGTTATCTGCAGACAGCCACAGGTACGACCCCAGTGAAGACTGAGGAGTTTATTATTTAAAATGGCTGCCCTGATTCACTGTTGGTGGGAGTGTAAAATGGTGCAACCCCTGTGGAAAGCAGTATGGCACTTTCTCAAAAAGTTGCAAATAGAGATACCATTTG